ATCATTTGAAAAGAAACTCGGTAAAACATTACCCTCACGTTACTCAAAGTTAGTTTTTCTGTCTCACCTTGTGACTTCTGTGAATTGACGAAGTTTTTGATTAAAGTATCCGTTGGTTGAGTGTAGAGAGAGAGAGCATGTTCCAGCGATTGAAATTCCGGCGATTTTTCGAGATAATTATTCTTCAAACCACTTCCACCAGCGTGGAAGTAGCTCTTGATGGCATCCAATGCAATGGCCAGAATTTGACAATGATGTAGAGTGAGATTTTTCAGCGTCACATTTGAACTCTCCTTCGACATCTCCTGCAAAATGGGCATAAAATGTGTGAAACATGAGTTTATAACCTAATCCAAAAGAGATAAGTATGATGAACTGACTTGAAGAAGCTTGCTGTTTGGTAATTGGCTACTGACATTGCTCAGTAGGGTTTGTGATACGCTTGTCAGTTTAGCCGTGGCATTGGATGGAATAGAGAGATTGAGGAAGAGAGCACTTGGATCCGAGACAGGAGGCAGAACTACCTGCTTCTCGAACGTGTACATGGTGATCTTCCAGAGTTCTTTCAGAATTCGTTTCAATACAGTTTTTTCACAGATATCTGCATAGACGGAAAGTGAGGACTCGAAATGGTCCATCAGAGGCCGAAGGACAAGGTCCGCCTCAGAGTCGATATTTGCCTTGGAATTGGACGAAATCTGGCATCGGAAATCAGGATTTAGCTTTACACAAGGCTTTAGAAGCTTGTACATTAGCAGTACTGTCTGTGATCAGCTTTAAAGACGTCGCATAATGGGAATTTAAACCTATCTCGAACACTCCAGGCACAGTTTTACAATTGGACTTGGAATTTTTTTATCCAAACATTCTAGTGCATCCAAGGAAAACAAAGTGGTTTGATATTGAAATTCGTATATACATTTAAGAATCAAAAAAAAAGTGGAGGAAAACAACAATGGTTTCCGAAAAATAGATTGAAGGAGCGTTAATGCTATGAAGGTCAATACAAGAATAAAGTGTTACTTACCTTTGCATGTCAAAGAAAGCTATTTTAAGGTTTGACTCCATTTTACGACCACTAAATACCTTCGTAGACATCTACTTAAGTAAAACACCAATTTGGTGAGACTTTTGCAGATCCTCGTATTTATAGTTTGTTGGGGAAAAAAGGCTACCAATTATAAAAATGCACAGAACATTTTAGGCCTTGGCACTAGCATTTGGAATAAGTGATTTGGGTTTGAGGTCACTTTGGACCTGCCTCCAAGCTCACCTGGTGCAGAAGTTTGTTGACCTCCTTAATCTTGCCCAGAACAATTGGACGTAGCGCAACTGAGTACTTTTCAGCCATCTCGTCAATCGCGTCGTTGAGCATCTGTTGAAGATCATGCATCACCGCCTTAGTGTCCTCCTTTAGATTCTCGTCACCGCCCATTGCCTCGTACACCTTCTCCAGTTGCACACGGCACTGTTGGATGTTATTCATGAGGATACAAGCAGTCTCCTGCGACTCCACCCAGTGATCAAAGTCAGCTTTCACCACCTCCGCATAGGTAAGAAGAACCTTTCCCACAGTCTGCAAGGAGAATACGAGTAAGGTTGTGCAACGTTTTGATGAAACACAGCTTAGTTTTTAAATCGTTTAGTGATCTGTGGGAACTTGCTCAAAAGCAGTTTCCAAAATTTCGTTCGAGAGATGTCAGCTACAAGGTAACAGTAAAATTAAAACTACAGTGATCGAATTTTAAGGCAACCTCCTTACTGCAGCGTACTTATATTCATTTCAGGCTGCAATGCAGCAAAATTCGCCCGGCGGAACGTGTATAACGGGAGACTATAGACTCTGTCACTTTACTTATCCAAATATTTAGCATAACTTGGACTGCAAATGAATAACAACAAAACCAACGAATATGTAAAGTGCGGAAAGGAACAGTGGAATACCGAATCATCCTAATCACAACAACAGACCGGAATTAGGCGCATTCATGTGACTACTTTATTAAATGAATTCAGCGAGAATTTTTAGACGCGACATCCCATCAAAGTGTGGTACCATAACTTTTGGAATTTGCCAAATTATGGGAAAAGGTGAATGGATTGAACAATGTGAGGGTGAGTAGCAAACCCCGATTAAATTTGTAGTTCTTGATGTTGAGTAAGGAAATGTGTAATCATACGACAAACAAAGGAAAAAAAAGCGAAGTAGTGGCTTTCAGTAAAAGGGTATAAACAGCAGCAGTCCACCTTACACTTGCGAATATTCGTGCCTTTACAAGAAAAATTTGAGTTTTAAATCATGTTCAGACTTCTACGACCGCAAGTCGCAATTAAATTCCCAATTAACTGCCCCGTCTCCACCAAAGTGCACATTTACTAGGGCCAATTCAACCTTTGACAGGTTTTAAACCAAGTTTTAAGAAGTGTTTCTAAAGTGTAGCGGTCCTTCTTTGACATGTTTAACCGAAATTGCTCGTTCAAAGTGTATGAATGAAGCGCAACACCCTTTACAGCGGTAAACAGCGTTGGAAAGCAATTTCTCGCAAAAACAAATCACTCACCATCGAACAGTTTTTAAGCTATCAACTAACTAGAAAGTAATTCTTACCGTTTGAATTGAAATTTATTAATAACATTACCGGAAGTTTACAAAATGGTTAATATTTCCTCCCCCTGGAGGCTGTGATTAAATGATCGCCTGCATTCTATAAGGGTGGCATGGATCCACCCATGAGCGATTGGCGGCTTTTCTACAGCAGACCTTAAAAATATCTTTGAGTTGTGCATGGGATTTTTTTAAAAAGCTAAATTCCTGCGCATATGTTTGGGCAGGTAATTTGTGGCTGAATTTAGGTTCGAGAGTTTCGATACCTGCATGGGAACTCAACCTCAGCAAGTTAACAAAATTGCTTGAATAATTAATTCGGTATCTGGACAGAGGAAAACATCCAACGTAGTATGTTTAAGAGCAATTTTCAAAAAGTGAAAGAGC